TAAGTTAGTAAGGGAACATTTACTGGATGAGAAGGTTGAATATGCAAATGGCAACAAAAAAGAAGATGGGAAAAGGAAGAAAATAGGAGGGTAAATAAGATTTAGGAGACAGAATTTGATGTAAGTTAGTAAGGGAACATTTACTGGGTGAGAAGGTTGAATATGCAAATGGCAACAAAAAAGAAGATGGGAAAAGGAAGAAAATAGGAGGGTAAAATATTATGAATCGAAGAAAAGAGGAGCAATCAATAATGCCAAATGCTAATGAGAGGTCATGATGATGAATGAAAAGTATTTAATCTGGTACAGGAAGGTCATTCTGTTCAGTATTACAGAAACCAGATTGCAGTCAAAGGAAAGAGAACAGGAGTGGCACATTCAAACATAGCATTTTAGTTTTCTGCATTCTATCTTCACCCATTGCACGCAATGCCACTGCAGCATAGGATGCTACTGTTAATCTCACTGTTACAATATAATATGAACACCTCTATGGAGACCAATATAATCCATGTTAAAACTCTAGAAAAGCCACTGTGACTCTCACTAACTGCAACTTTAATTAATAAGCAGCCTAGAGCGAAGGAGTGGTTAACTATTATTCCCATTTTATATAATTTGGATGCAAATGGTTCGCCCAAGGTCATGTATTGGGGGGGATACTTTTCCAAATTCCTCAATCTTCACCTTGAGCTGAGTTAAACAAGCCAGATAGCAGACCAGACTGATCTTGGAAAAGTCATTTCCTCTTTGGGGGACTTTGTAAAATGAGGGGGTTTAATCAAATGATGTAGTTAATGTCTGTGAATTTTTGATTGCTTGAGATCTTCCAACCTAAATTTTGCCAATTTGCAGTCTTTAAACCAAAAGAGATTTTCTTTTCCTGCAGTGTAAAACATAAACTCAAACCCCACAGGTCAACCCCAAACTCTAGCTATTCTACACTCAGAGTAGTGTCCAACCTCCTAGGACAACATAGTCTATATGGTATGAGGCCTCTTTGAATTTTATCAATCTAAAGCTTCAGACTTCCATGTAGAACTAAAAATCTTACCTTTTACTTCTTCATGTTTTTTCCTTGAAACACTCTAGCACTGATTCATTTTTCAGTTAAACTCTATTGGACCTAGGATGCTTAGCTTTTATAGTAATATATGTTGGGGAGTTTTATATAACTTACTTTCATTGACAAAATTTGAATATATTATATACAACACAATGTTTTAATTTTTTAGTCTTTTATTTATTTACTTATTTGATACAGAGTGTCACTATGCAGCTCAGACTTGTAGTGATCTTTCTGTCTCAGCTTCCCCAGCACTGGGATTACAGATGTGCACCACCACACCCAGTTCCAAGACCAGCATGGCATGTGGTACCAGGAATTGAACCCAGGTCCTTGCATTTGCCAGGCAGGTACTTAGATGGACAAGCTATCTTCCCAGCCCACAATACAATGCTCTAAAATATGTATACACTGTAGAAGGACAAAATGGCTAATTAATATATCTACTGCCTCACATATTTACCCTTATTTCATGATAAGAACACTTAAAATCTATGTATAACACATTGCTAAGGACTATTAGTCATCATGTTTTACAATAGATTTCTTGAACTTATTCCTATCTTAAACTATATCCATCAACCAACATTGTCCAAATTCACACCTCCCTTTATTCTGATGCCTATTAAACACCCTTTTATTCTCTGTTATTATGAATTTGACTTGTTTTGATTTTACGTTGAAGTGAGATCACGCAGCGTCTGCCTTTCTCTGTCTTGCTTATTTCACTCCATACAATGTGCTCCGGGTTTATCTACACAGTCACAAATGATGAGATTTTAAGCTTAACCTCACTATCTGTCTGCATATCAAACATCTTAGGCATAGTATGAAACAGGTATTTTTCATCAAGTATTGATATGTTGAACTTTAAGTCCCTACAGAATATGATTAAAAAACATTTAAAATTTAAAAATTAGATCTTGTGAGACTCTGAGAA